AAGTCCATCCGATGAGGCCCAGAGATGAAACCCTTGGAGGAGATCCATTCTCTAAGGTATTGGCTTAGTCTTGAAAGGGTTCAAAGCCACGAACCTAGAGACCTATTTGAGCTCGGGCTTGAAAGGGTTTCGGATCCATGAACCTAGAGATCCGAAGTGCTTGGCTTCGAACGCAATCTAGAAGTCGCTCCATTAATGAGTTCCAGAACACTTGTGGGCTCGGAGCTTTTCGGGATCCACACACCAGAACCATGGACGTGATGGAGTCCGAACAAAGGACCCGATCCTGAGGACGGTGAGTGGAGATAAATTTACTCTTCGGTTAAACTAGCCTATACCCGGGTCGAGGTGGCACGATCTAGGAGGTTCCTGAGACTCAGCAATATTTGCGGCAGGGCGTTCTCTTGAACTACCCTTGACCCTTCTACGGCAGGGCGTCCTCTGCGACTACCTGTAACCCCTTGGGATGATTGGGGATCATTGGTTAGGTGTGGCTAAGAAGAAGGGTTCGTCGAGAGGTTGATCTCCTCTTCGAGGGTTTTCCTCATCTTCGGAGAGGTCACCTCCTCGAACAAGGTAGTTAGAGAGAATATTCCTCATGTGCCTTGCACATGGCCTTCATCCTACATCATGATGTGTCTATAAATAGCACCCACCCATAGCTTTACAAGGGATGGATTTTGGAGAGACAACTCTTGGGAAAGAACTAATTTTCCTTCTCTATTATCTACCTTGAAAGTGAAAGTGGGAGATCCATGGGAGAGCATTGCCATTATTTTCTCTCTAATTACTTTGCCTTCTTCTTCACCTAATCTCTTATCTCCACCATCTCTTTGCTTTTGTGTTCTTAGTTGTGACTATTGAAGAATCTAAGCCTCTCATCATTTCTAGAGAATTCGAATTTTCTTCAAAGATCTTCGAAGATCTTTGAATTTTCCAACGACGTTCTTGAACCCTCTCATACATTTGGCGACTCCACTGGGGAGCTTGAATAGAACTTTTGGTATTGTGACTCCCACGGCTGTCAGAACGACTTAAAAGATGGGGCCCTGCCTCAATAGTAGCAATCAAATCTTTCAGAATATAAATTGTAGCGTGGTAGCATACAATGGTTCCTTTCTTAGCTGTTATTACGAACCAAGCCACGGCATGCCTTTGAGTTAAGGTAGCTTTTTGAATGGAGATAGAGATGACAGTACAATAGGGCGGATTTTTTTTACAATTAGACAAATTACGTTTCATCGTTGAGACAGCACGGTACAATAATCTATTGGGTGGTGTTGGCGGTGAAAAGTTGTTTGTCTTATTGTAAAAATAATACATGTTATTGTACTATTATATGTATTATCGTACTATAGTGCGTATTATTGTTGTATTATGGCATACATATCCATGTGCTGCTCATGTATCCTCTATTAATGTAATATGTCTTGGAGCCCTCCCCGTTGTCCATATAACGGAGCTTCCATCATCATTGTAAGTAGGCCTCGGCCATTGATGTACTATACTTGTTTTAGTGTGCCTAACGATCATTTCCTTCTTTGTGATTGTACCTCCTTTGTGGTTGTCATGTTGGTATCAGAGCCATGGCAGCTGAACTCTATCATCTTGATTTTTTTTAACTCGTGAACTCGAGTCCTTCTCCTTACCTTGAAGTGTATGCTCCGTGCTTGCGCCTTCCGGTGGATCCTCCACATCAAATGCTTCACTGCTCTGGACCTACTTTGTGTATTTCCTTAGTTTATTTCAACTAAGATATCGTTACAATGAAGGGGAATAGTACCTTGAGACTTGTCCTATTTTGATTGTGTCTCGGTTTAACTCTCTTTTCTTTTGACTTTACTGATGATGAAGTAACTACTAGTTTACCATTTATGGTTTTTGGCTATGAAGCATGGATATTTCAAAAATGGTGTCGTACGAGTATAGGATACGTATCAAATACGGATACGCGTCTGATACGGCGGGATATGTATCGGATACGGCAAATAAGTATCCGATTTTTATTTTTTAATTTTTAATTTCGAATATGCGATGGATACTTGAGGGATACTTCAAGATACGTGTGGAATATGCGAGGGATACGTCAAATAAGTATCCAAATTTGTTTTCTAATTTTTTGTTTTTTATATTTTAATACACCAAATAAGTATATTATTTTTTTTCCAATTTTATATTTATATTTTTTTCAATGGTCAATACTCGTTGCTCTCATTCTTCTTCCCTTTTTTTTTTTTTCCTTTCTTTTTTTTTTTTTTTTCCCCTCCAACATTTTTTTAATGTAAGTATTTCTTTATCAAATTTTTAATTTTAGGAACTTCAACGTTAGTATCTAACATTGTTTTAATGTAAGTATTTCTTTATCAAATTTTTAATTTTAGGAACTTTAATTTTAGTATTTCTTTATTTAATAGGAATCCCTCTCTTTATTTATTAATTTACTTTAGGTTTTATTTTCATGCATATTATATTATTAAAATTATAAAAAATAATTTTTTTTTACGAACGTATCCTTCTGTACCCGTATCTTACTTTTTCAGATCTTGGCATTATCACCATATCCATATTGCTGCATTGCCGTATATCGTATTTGTATCTGTATCCGTGCTTCCTAAGTTTTTGGAGATTGATTTGGTTGTCCTTAGGCCAAGTTTGGCTATCCTAAATAAATACACACTTTTTATCTTTTTATCTTTTTTCCATCACATCATCTTTCTATTTTTCTGCACATCTTTTCGTAAAAAGACAAAAAGTGCACTTTTAGGTCATCCCAAACAACCCCCAAGTATAAGAAAAATAAAAATCTTTGTTACTCCATGAATTTGCCATCTAGTAGTAAAGCTTTCTCTTATGTTTTATCCTCCTTTTCTTCCTCTTGCCATACTTCTTCTAATGTCAAATATCTCTATTGTGAAGTGAACTCTCACATCGCTTGGCTACTAAAGTAATGTGTAGTATAAAAGCGTAAGGGCACCCTCACCTCAATAGCTAGCTTTTGGGGTTGAATTCTACCCAAGACCGTGTAACATGATATTAAAGTTGAAGTACCAAGGATGGGTAGGGTGTGTGTCTTTGGTCTGCACATGCTTCAGGTGCTGCCAAGTGAGCACGCTAGGCGTGAGGGAGGGTGTGAAGCGAAGTCTCACATCGCTTGGCTTCTAGAGTAATATGCAGTATAAAAGTGTAAGGGCACCCTACCTCAATAACTAGCTTTTGAGGTTGAGTTCTACCTAAAACCGTTTAACATCTATGAATTTAAATATACCTTCCTGTACATAGTAAAGTACCTGTTACAGAAGTCCAACCTCCTTAATCCTTATCAAGCTTTTTCTAAACCAACTTTTTCAGTAAAGCAAAATGTTTAAACAACTTATGTTGAGGTTTCTCATTTTGGCCAATGTCTCATCCCAGCCACTGAAGTTGAACAACCTACCAATTTGAATTTTTCTACTGATCTTTACCATTTTTGGTGCCAACAACTCATCTTCATTTTGGAGCAGTATGACTGGCCATTAACTTTCACATTACAGAAAGGATCTTCCTGTTGTCTCTTAGATTGCCCTTGTGGATACCCAATTCCTTTTACAATAAGACAAACTAATCAACTTTGATGTACCAGAACTTTTTTATGCTCATCAAGTTGAACTTTGTGGGTTAATGGTATTGATCCAACTCACGTTCCCTCAGCTCTTTTTCGCAAAGGGACCTCACATTGATAGGGCTGCAAACAAGCCGTGTGGGAGCTTTAGGTGTTCGAGCTTGGTTTGCCATATTAGTCGAGCTCAAGCTTGTGCTCAAGCTTAAAAAATAAAGCTTGGCTCCAGCAATTCGATTACATAAACAAGGCGAGCTCATTCTTGAAAGAAAAAAAAAATTCAAACCTACATTAATTTGCTTATTAAGAGAAAGGAAATATATATATATATATATAAAAAGAAGGAAAAAAGAAAAAAAGAAGAAGAAGAAGAAAAGAAAAGAAAGTTATGGGCAAAATATAAAAGAATGTTTGTATAGGCCTGTGAATAAGTTCAAGTCTGACCACACTAGATGAGATAAGCTTGATTGGAGCCAAGGCTTGATAGAGTTTGAAATAAGCCAGAAGCCTGCCATGTTTGGTTCAATTCGTGTACACACTTTTTGCTAGGGGTGTGCAAATGAACATTGAACCAAACTGAACCTGACTTCTATGGTTGGATTTGGTTCCTTAGACTAACGGTTGGTTCAATCGGATTGGTTTTGGGTTGCATTTCTTCCAAACTGAACCAACTCAAGACCCAAGTTTACCCAGCATGCATACTTCATATCTGTAACTTTTCGGAAATACGATAAAGCAAAATTTTAGTTGTCTCACTGATGTGGGAAATTGACTTTGGCTGGGCTAACCATTTATGCAGCCAAAGTAATCGGCTTTGCAGTCTCGGGCCAACCTTTTTGGCCCGGCTAATCACCGTAACTGGGCTGATCACTGTAACTGGGTTGTTTTGACTTGAGCTTAAATGAAATTAAAATTTTGCACGAACCATAATTTAGAACTGAACCATGGTTCCTTGGTTTGGTTTGTAAATAGTAACGGTTCAGTTCTGAGTTGAAACTTGGGAACCGACCTAGGTCAGTTCGGTTCTGGGTTGGTTTAACATCAACCTGAATCAAAGTGACGCATGTGCACCCCTACACTGGATCAACTTCCAGCAGCATGAAATCTTTCCCTTCAAATTTACCTATCATGACTAATAGAGAGCAATTTACGGAGAACATACAAACTTTTTTCTTGGTGGAATCAATATTTGACATATCTACCACAATTTATAAATAAATTTCTCTTGTCAATTGTATCTTTTTGTTCTTGATGACAAAAATTACGGCCCCATGAAGTGTGAAGGAGTACATACTTCACTACAGAATGAGTTGTTGTAAAGTGAATTTTTTTACTATGCTTTGCATTTGTTCAACATGTACTACTAGATGACTCTAGATAACAATTTATGCTTTCAATACTGCAGAGGAATCTACAGGAGTATTAAGGAAGGCTGAAAGCGAATACAAGGGACACCGCTCATTGCTGTCACGAACCCGAAACCTACTCTCAACAATGCAACGTCAAGACGTCCTTGACAGGTATAGGGTAAAAAGTAGTACACCCCCTCACCCCCTCTAGTTCAACTTCTAGACTTAATAGATCTGTTTGACACAGTTGTGTTTAGTACCACTTTGTATGATGGCCCCCTTTTTTTTTCTTTTCTTTTTTTCTTTTTTTACACAGGTTCTTCTTTTATATATACTTGTTTGCTTATTAAAACAATCAAAAAACAGTACACCCCCTCGGCCCGTCCTCCACACCATCCGTAGGCCTTGTTTGGTGCAATATTTTGTAAATTGAAAGCTAAGCCAAAAGCAATCCACCCCCTTCGTTTTGATAATCAGTTTTTTAAAGCTTAGTTAAGCTATTTTTACCTAAGAAGCTGTAAACAAAAGCTGCATCAAACAATTTGGCACAAATTCCCAAGATCAAAAAAACAAAAAAAAGGAAGCTACAAGCAGCTCACATAAGTTGTACCAAACAGCCCCATGAGCAAGTTTCAGACTGAAGTTCTATTTTTGCAGGGTTATAATTGTTATCGGATTTCTGTTGTTCTCGTGTGCTGTTCTCTACGTTGTGTCAAAGCGTATTGGACTACTCAAGTTGCAAAGGCAAGTCACTGCTGCCATAAAGGCCGGTATGGCTGGACAAGCAGAGATTGGACTCAGACCTGATGGGAATGGCATAAACTTTGCTCGGGTCAATGAAAATGTAGTTCCTAACGTGGATGTACCATTAGAACAGCGCATGCATGATGAACTCTGAAGTTTCTGAGAATCTCCTACATTCTTTCTGTAAATACTAGTTTCCCTAATTACTACATACCATGGTGCTTGGTCTGTACCTGGAGTTCATGGTTCGGTTTCACAAAAATTGGTCAAGAGTATAGCACACAATCTGCCACACTTTTATGGCTTTCTCTTGTTCTTTTTGTTTTAATTTTCAAGTGAGTTGAAATGTTTATTTTTGGTTAATGACTTGGAATTTTAACAGAAGCGTACTCTCTTTTTGGTGATATTTCACTCTCATAAGGTTCTTTTGAAATATTTACTACTTTCATGGATTGGAATTGTGAAAAATGGACATTAAGTACGGTAGTGATTCAAATTGATCTATTTCTGCCAAAAAAAGGGAAAGAAAAATGGAAAATGAAAAGACAAATCTAGTTTTGAACTCAATGTAGCGAAGGGGGTGCGAAATCTTTCCACAAATCTTGGTTGTCATTTGTGGAAGGAAAAGGAAGGCGAAAGAGAAAAGTGAGACGATGTTAAGAATCTTGAGGGTAAATGATGAATGTGAATGAGAATTTTATTGCTAGTAATGAAAATCAAGGTCAATTACACTTTTCACTTTCATGATTTGATTTAAATTTTACTTTTGGTTTTAAACCTAATTTCTGTTTGGTCTTTTTGTTCAAGTTGGAGATTGAAGGTATCAATCTTAAGGTGTACACTTGGTTAAAATTAATGAAAATTTGAACAAATAGATCAAATTGAAATTGGATTTAAAGTGCAGAGACTAAAGGGTGGTTTGGGATGTCCTAAATAAGTGTATTTTTTGATTTTTTATGAAATATGGGTTGGGTTTGAAGTGATGTGGTAGAGAGGTGATGTGATGTGATTTAAATAGGATAGTGACTTTTTGACTTTTTGAATTTTTTAATTTATGCCAAACAAGGTCTAAACTATTCAATTTAAAATTATAGAAATTAAAATATTGGATTATAGTATAGGGCTTAAAATTGTAATTAACTCTAAAATTATTTGGTTTTGTTTGGAATCCTCAATGGAAAAATAATAAAATTTGGATAAGTTATACTTACCTCTCTTGAAATTTTTGACAAATAAAGGGACTTTCTCTGTAATTTCAATAATTACATAAACCTCTCTTATTTTAACTGACAATATAAAGATTTTCTCATTTTTAAACTGTCATTCACACAACTAACAAAAATTACTGATGTCATCAAAAATAAATATTAAAATACCCATAATACCCTCAAGTGTCTTGAAATAGTCCATGAGCTGGGTTACATGAGATGCTACCTTCTTGTTCTATTTCTCTTATGCTTCCTTTCTTTTTATTTTTGACCAACACAACACAATCATGCTTCCTTCCTTTTTACTTTGGGCAAATTATACTAACAGTCCTTATAACTTGGGATTCGTGTCACTTTGACCCTTAATTTTTTAATTGTGACACATTTGATCCTGAATTTTGAATGCTGTTTCAAATAAGGAGAATTGAAGATACCATTGCTTAATTTCAAGGGCAAAATTGTCAATTTGATAAAATTTAAACTAATTTGACAAAAATAAGTATCAAAAAAATATTTTTAAAATTTTAAAAATTATTTATGTAAAATTGATAAATCTTTTAGACATTTATTTATTTATTTATTTATTTTACCAAATTAATTTTTATTATGTGCTTGGAAGATAATCATATAATAGGTGGTTGTTAAGATTTTAATGTGTAATCGGTATATTTAATATGAAATGTTTTTAGTTTTGGATTTTTTGATTTAATGGATTGATAGTTGTCACCATATTTGACTTTTGAAAAAACAGAAACTAATTTAATAAAAATAAAAAAGCAACCACCTATTACATAATCATCATCCAAACACATAATAAAAATTAATTTGGTAAAAATAAATTAATAAATGTCTAAAAGATTTATCAATTTTACATAATTTTATTTTTAGCAGGTAGAAATAATTTTTAAAACTTCAAAATAATTTTTTGACATTTATTTTTCAAATTAATTTGTATTTTATTAAATTGATGATTTTGCTCTTGAAATTAAGCAATGGAATCTTTAATTGTCCTTATTTGAAACAAGATTCAAAATTTAGAATTAAATGTATCGCAATTGAAAAGTCAGAGACCAAAGTGACACAATCTCCAAACTATAGGGATCATTAGTGTAATTCACCCTCTTACTTTTGACCAACACAACACAATCACCGACCAACTCTCTTCTTCATCTCTTCATATCTTTCTCAAAGGCAACCAAATCAAAACCTATAGTAGTCCATTTGGCTTCATAAGCAATCAGATTAAACACACAAATAATGTTAGAATGTTAATTACTGAAACGAAATATTTAGATAAAATTATTTCATCTGGGTTTTTATTTGATTTGAGATTTATTTATTTGCTCTGGATTTGAGCTTTAGCTTTCGTTTGGAATGTAGATTAGTTTTTTGATTTTTTGACTTTTTGTCTTGGGTTGTGCGCCAGAGAGAGCAATTTGGATTGTATGCCAGAGGAGGTGGCTTAGGTGATGCGCCAAGGGGCAACTTGGGTGGTGTCCCACAGGAAGCGACTTGAATTGTGCACCACAGGGGAACGACTTAGGTGGTTTGCATGATGTATAACCATATTCACCATGATATAGGTATAATACCCCTTTCAAACTCAAATAAGGTTGAAGATAGAAACTTATTTGAGGTTGAAGCAGAGGGAAAGATAGAATGGAGTAGAAGCACTAAAAAAAAAAGAAAAGGATTGTGAGTAAAAAAAAATATTTGATGGAGATATTTAGGGTAGGAATAAACTAGCAGATGAAGAAGGAGATCACTATGAAGCAATACTGACAGGAAAATATGACAGCGGAATAGGTTGAGGTTTGGCGGGCAACCAAGGGAAGGTTGTCACCCGTCGGTGAAGCAAAATTACTAGGTACTTCACCTAACTCTAATACCATGTTACAATAGTAAGTAGAGAAAGAAAGGAAATAATATGTATTGTATTCAATAAATTAATCATATACAATAGAAGGTCTGTATATATAGGCTAAGAAAGAGTATCTTATAAGAAACCTAACTATGACAATACAAATATATTTAAAAAATTAATACCTAATATATCTAGAAATATATACTAAATACACATTAACATGGCTCAACTTCCACCTTCTACTGCCTCAATGTCTCACTCTTTCTTTTGTATCTTTTTTTGCCCTCAAACCCTTCATACACACCATCGCCTCTATCTACCTACAAACCTTTTGCTCCAATCTTTATTTCCACTTTCTCTGTTCTTAACCTCTAACAAGCAACATCAAAATCAAGACCAACACCACTATATCTACAAGCATAGTGATCAATATGAACACCAATGTCAACTATAACATCAAGAACTCCATGGACACTGGTACCGCCTCCCTCAAAGACTAATCACCATGCACTTCTATAGCGACGGACATTAAAACGACGAGATCTGGTGGTGTTCTATGATCGACAAGACCAACAAGATCGAGATCGACACTTCTGAAATCAGCATCACTGTGGTTCTGGTGAATCTGCCTTCAGCATCGTCGTCTTTCACTCTTTCTCTCTTTAGCATTGCTATCTCGCTCTATTTCTTCTCATGGGTTTGGTGTCTCGATTTTGTACTTGTTGGGATATAGTAGTGTATACGGTTGAGACAATGGAGATTCATGGTAGTTAGGGGTTGTGAAGCTGGAGGTTGGTGGCAATGGAGAGTCGACAGAGGTAGAGGGAAAAGGTAAAAATTGGGTGTAGTGGAAGGGAAACGCAGAGGCAGAAGAGATAAAGACGGGTAATTATCAAATAGAATGAGGTGCATGTAGGGATGACAATTTGAACCCGGCCCGACGGGGACCCGATCCCCCGACCTCGATTTGAATGGTTTTTTCTCAAAAAATATCCCCGTGGGGACGGGGATGGTATTTGAAATTAAATCCCCGATCAATTTCGGGCCGGGGACGGGGATTAGTGTTCAAGCCTTGGCCCGTCTCCGTCCTCGGCCCCGAATTTCCCCAAAGTAAAATTGCCATTTTACCTCTCTCTCTTTTTCCTGAAATAAAATTACCATTTTTCCCCTCTATATATATATAAAAACCAACCATTTTCACTCACACAACACAACAGCAACACCTCACTCATCACTGCCTCTCGTCGTCTCTCTCTCTCTCTAAAACGTTCCGCCGATCTCTTCTCTCTCTCATCGATCGCCTCTACGCCGATCGACGATCTCAAAACGTGAACGGCGATAGTGAACGATGATCAATTGTCTCTCGAAATGGTTAACAAGGAGTTTCGAGTTCACGATGCCATAAGAGAAAAAACAAGGAAAGATGGGGCACAGAGAAGAACTATCTAGGATTTTTTATTAGAGAAAGAAAAGAGGAACAAACAACCATCATCACGTCAAAGAGAGCTTCTCTTGTTGAAAACATCTGTGCAAACTCCATCCCGTCCATCTCTTGGAGGACCACCGGATCACCATCATCACAGGTAGCAAAACTTCCCATCTGGTCAAATCTATTTCTCTATGAGTCAAATATGTTTCTTCAAATCTGGGTTCGAACTAGGTCCATCTGGTCTCACCCATCTACCATTTTACCATTTTTTTTTTTAAACATTTGAGCTCATCAGATCTGTTAATGGTGATGATGATGATGAACATATCTCTCTCTCTTTACTATGTTGTTGTTGTTGATGATGAACAGATCTGTTGGATCTATTTTTTTTTTTTGGCTGGGAAATTTTCGGGGTCGGGGAATCCCGATCCCCATTAGGGGGCGGGGGTGGGGTGGCTATAGGTTCCCTGTCGGGGATCGGGGACGGGGGGTGTGTTCCCCGGCCCCGCCCCGTTGCCATTCCTAGGTGCATGATAAAGGTTATATGAGAAAGTGGATAAAGGGTTATTTTGTCTTTTGTGCTTAAATGAAGGGTAATATCATCATTTTGTATAGGCAAATATTGTCATTTGTACAAAATTGATGGAATGGGGGGAATCTTGATGTTTTCAATGAAAGTAGAAGAAGGTTTTATAATTATTAAAATCATAGGAGATGTTATTATATTTATAAAAAATCTCAGGAGATGTAAGTATAATTTACATTAAAATTTTAAATATTGTAAGTTTTGATTATTATTTTTTTATTTTTTCAACAGCTAACATTTCTTTTTCAATGGTCTCTATATTTTGGTTAATTATTCAGTATCTCTATTTTGGTTAATACTGCTTCCCCATGATAATCTCACATAATATTTGACATTAGAAAAGTAAAA